ATCAATATATCAATATATCAATATATCAATATATCAATATATCAATATATCAATATATCAATATATCAATATATCAATATATCAATATATCAATATATCAATATATATCAATGAAATATATCAGGGGTAGGTTGCTGCCAAGGTTACTGCCAGTTCGCTTCATGCGGGCTTTGTGCATGTTGCTTGCACATGCGCAGTTGCCTGTAAATTGTTCTGCTCATACACAGAGCATTACAAAATGACAAAAAAATCATGCCAGCAATGGCATGGCAACTGGGAAACCAGTTCGGCAACCCAGTCCCAATTGCCACTAATGGTTCGCCTGAACTGGTGCAAACCGATAGCAACCCACCTCTGAAATACATGACAGGATGCCTTCAATATAATTTAAAAGATTTAACACCATGAGATATTTTTCAATAAGCTGGGCATTCCATAAAACTCCACTTCTTCATTTCTTTTATTTCTTTTAACTTGAAGTTAGCTAATAGCCAGAGTTTTTTTTCTTCTCTTCTGTTTTACATTTCCTTTTTTTTGTTTCATCTTTTTTCCCTTTGTGTAATTATAGAAATTGCCATAGAATGTGACATAAAGTTAAACAGTCTCCTCTCCATCCTTAGCTGTAAACATACATAAAGGTAAAGGTTCCTCTTGCACATGCGTGCTAGTCATTCCCGACTCTAGGGGGCAGTGCTCATCTCCGTTTCAAAGCCAAAGAGCCAGCGCTGTCCAAACACATCTCCGTGGTCAGGTGGCTGGCATGCTCTAAATGCCGAAGGCACACAGAATGCTGTTATCTTCCCACCAAAGGTGGTTCCTATTTTTCTACTTGCGTTTTTACATGCTTTCGAACTGGTAGGTTGGCAGAAGCTGGGACAAGTAACAGGAGCTCACTCCATTACGCGGCACTAGGGATTCGAACCGCCAAACTGCCAATCTTTCTGATCGACAAGCTCAGCATCTTAGCCATTGAGCCACCACATCCCTAAATGTACATAACATACCCCAAATAATTATACGCTACATTGAAACATATTATGGCATTTTTCAAGCTTTTTTCTTATTCTTCTTCCATTTAGATCCATCCCTTTCTTAGGCGTGTGTCATTTAACACCAGCAGCAGAGCAATTATTTCTTTTGATGAAAATGGTGAATTAATAGGAAAGTTTGACATCATCAACTGGGTCACATTCTCAAACCAGACTTTTCTTAGAGTCAAAATTGGAAGGATAGACCCACAGGCACCCTTAAACCAACTGTTGACTATTTCTGAAAAGAACATTGTCTGGCCAACCCAGTTTGGGCAGGTAGAATCCATGTCATTTCAGTACCTTTTTTATTTTCTTACTCAAAATTCAAAGAGGTTTCAGTGTTCATAGTATTGGAATCTTCTTCATATATTGAAATTTTTGATTGTGCCCATTTTTTTAATTTTAAGTCTCTTCCATTCACGGACAGATCCAGCCCATTTCCTTGTGCAATGATAAATGCCATTCAGGCTATAGAAAGACCAAGAAAGAGAGCAAACATTTTTGCTGCTATGACTGTATCCCCTGTTCAGAAGGGAAGATCTCAAACCAGACAGGTAAGAAACCATGTGAATGTATGGGGTCAGCATTTTTTCTCCACTTTCATATGCTATATTAATAAGCAGCCATTTGTAATGAAATTTCAAAGTATGTGTCGGTGCTGGAAATGAAGGTTTGCATACAGAAAATCTATCAAGCCCTGCCAGCTTGCCATGCCTAGGGGGAAGGGGGAAATGATGGTGTCAGCTGCGGAGATGGTGTCCCAGCTGCGGGAATAGCATGGCCCCAGCAGCTGGCATCTCACATGCTCCTGATGGCTGCCTTTGGACCAGCATGCCCAAACAACTGACTAGCGCTGCTTCAAACAGCTGACTAGCACTGTTTCAAACAGCTGATTAGCACTGCTTCAAACCGCTGACTAGTGCTGCTTCAAACAGCTGATTAGCACTGCTTCAAACCACTGACTAGTGCTGCTTCAAACAGCTGATTAGCACTGCTTCAAACCACTGACTAGCACTGCTTCAAACAGCTGATTAGCACTGCTTCAAACAGCTGACTAGCACTGCTTCAAACAGCTGATTAGCACTGCTTCAAACAGCTGATTAGTGCTGCTTCAAACAGCTGATTAGCACTGCTTCAAACAGCTGACTAGTGCTGCTTCAAACAGCTGATTAGCACTGCTTCAAACCGCTGACTAGTGCTGCTTCAAAGAGCTGATTAGCACTGCTTCAAACCGCTGACTAATGCTGCTTCAAACAGCTGATTAGCACTGTTTCAAACCGCTGACTAGTGCTGCTTCAAACAGCTGATTAGCACTGCTTCAAACCGCTGACTAGTGCTGCTTCAAAGAGCTGATTAGCACTGCTTCAAACCGCTGACTAGTGCTGCTTCAAAGAGCTGATTAGCACTGCTTCAAA